CTAAGGATTCTAAACTTTAAGATGCCGCATCCTATTAGCAAGGATCTTAAGTGGCGAATTGTCTACTTGCATTATGAGCATTATTCAAAAGATGAAATTGCCGCTACTTTGTATATAAGTAAATCATTAGTAAATAAGGTTTTAAAAATTTATAATAAATGGGGTACAGTTGTTCATCTGTGGCGCCAAGTTCCTGGACGAAAAAAAACATTTAACAGAAATGAGATGAAGGTATATGTTTATCGTTTTTATTTCGTATAACATAATGCTAATAATTGATTCTAATAGTTTTTATAATATTTAGATTTTACAGGAAATTGTTAAAGAAAAGGTTGATTGGTTTTTATATGAGCTTATTTCTGAAATGGAACGGCGAACAGAAAAATCAGTTTCAATTCCAACATTATGGAGGTCATTAGTATACTGCAGCATTACTTAGAAAAAAGTTAAGTTGCCTTGTTTTATTTGTAAAATACTTATAACTTTTAATAATTATATTATCATTTTATTTTAGCTTTATAAACAAGCAAAAGAAAAGAATGAACTTACACGAAGTGCCTTTATGGCACATGTTGGAATGTATTATCGTTCAGATCAGTTAGTGTTTATTGACGAATCCGCAAAGGATGAATGTTTCATAACACAATGTTATGGATATTCGCAAATCAACATCCGAGCAGCTAAAAAAGTTATATTTGTGTGTGGAACATGTTACTCAATTTGCCCTGCTTTAACATTACAAGGAATAATTGCTGTCAATATAACAGAAGGAAACCATACAAAGCTCAAGTTTAAAGATTTATAATCAATCAAGTTGTATGTATAAACTGAGCACAGGTTTTTTTCGTAGTTTTACTAGCTGCCCTTGCGTCGAAAGTGCATCAGGAGTATGTCGAGCGTAACCTGGGTTTACATGAAGAGAGCATCTTCCTGCATTGCGAACATGAAGTAAAATATTATATAATTGGAATTTTTACTTCATGTTCGCTGGGTTACGCTCAACGTACTTCTGACACACTTTCGATGCAAGGGCAGCCGGTAAACTACAAAAAAAACCTGTGCTTATAAACTGTAATGTTAACTAATTTTTCTATAAACTTATTAATTAATGTTTTATTTTTATTATAGCTACCACAGCTGAATTTCTATCCAAATTCTAATAGTGTTTTGGTTTTTGATAATGCGCAAATTCATCATAATGATGGGTTGCTTGAGTATTTAGATGCATTTGGAGTACGTGTGGAGTTTCTTCCACTATATTCGCCTAACTTTAACCCAATCGAAACTGTATTTTCTGTGATCAAGAATTATTTGCAACAATTTCGATACTTTGTTGAAAATTTACACAACCCAACATATCCTTTATTAGTGGCATGTGCACAAATTTTGCCAGAAATGGCAAAGAATTTTTATGAAACTTTGGGCTATAAGTAAAAAAAAAAAAAATCTAGATTTATGCAATGCAGTTATACGAATCTTATGCTAACAATTACAATTATCTTATTTAGATAACTGCAAAATCAAAAATTTTGTATTGCAATTATATGTACAATTTATCTAGCCTTTTATAGATTTTTTCACAATGATTTTATATCTTGTTATATACAGGCATTTTAAGAGTAAATAATAATCACATCTAATTATTTGAAATTAGATTTATTATCGTTATAAGAAATCACTTGTGATAAAGGCTAGTTATCTGCCCATTTTAAAAAATTTGATAGTATTGGTAATTATATAAACAAATTTTAAAACAGGAAATAAAATACTAATTATTTACTAAGCAGATTTATATTGTTCAAAATATGTATATTGAGAAAAGTGCGAAAAATGCACTGGGTACAAATAATATAACAATACACTACTACTACTCTAACCAGAACACTACTAGTACAACTAAACGCTAATATTGGTAAGACAACGATTGAGGCGTGGTAAGACTTGGTCTGAGTAACTAGGGTGAATTGGGTTCTTAGTAATAGTGTCAGATTATAGTTCTCAATTACATCACGAAGTTCTTAATACAGAATCACAAGATTTGGTTACGAATTCCAATTGTTATTACAGATTTTACTTATCGGGGGAATTAGTAGAGAACTCTAACTGAGCTGTGAGCTAAGCTAGACTATGCTAAGCTGTCCTAAGCTGTCTATATTGAAGAGCTAGAAGATATTGTATTTATACTTTTACATTGCTAGTGTAAGTATTCACTAAATTGCATAAATACGACATATTTAACATATGCAACATATTCGATATATTTATTAATTATATTAAATATGTTATATATATTAAATATGTTAACTATGCTAAAATGTTCATAATGTTTAAAATGCGCCAATTTGGCTAAGCCAAATATGCATCCGGTTCACCAAATATAGTAAAGTCTTATTACAACGTATGTACGTACATATATGCATACTGTATTTTAATATACAAGCTATTATTACTAATAATAACAAATGCCACATGCAGTATCAGATATAATGCAGTGCTTATTATTATCAGTATACAATTAGTTCAATTCAAGTTTTTAAAATCAATTTCTATTCGCATGGTTAAGTAGTAAATTGAAGAGGTTACACTATTGTTAGTTGATTTTTTAAAGGGTCAATAAGGGCCGTGACATATATTACGTAATATCATTTTATCAGGGGGGTACCCCCCCTCTCCCCCACATCATATATGATCATATATGAAATATCAATATAAAATATTATCTTCAGCTACCCCCCCTAGGATATTACATAATATCTGTCACTGCCCTAATCAGAATATATGTAATTATTATTGATATAAATAAATAAAAATAAATACAATGTTTTTTTAATAAAGCAATAACGATTCTTCAAAATTTTATTGTTGAAATTACATTTTATAATCTGATTAGTTCAAAAAAAAACAAACATATTCTTATAATGCTTTTGCAAATAAGCAACTATACTAATTACAACATATAGATATTTAAAATTAAAAAGCATTTTGAAATTTTTCAGCATAATCACGCAAGGTTCTTCGGGCACCAATTGTATTTACTCCATATTTCTTAAGTTCATTGTTTGATAATTTACTTAAATGCTTTATTGAGATTTGTTGTAATTTGAATTCATCCAAAAAATCTTAATAATAATGAGTTGTTCCTTCCTTTTCATCTATCTCCTTTAGAAAATCATTTATAGTTGGTAAAATATTTGATTTATACTGACTAGCTTGAAATAGAAATGAACCAGATTGTGGTGGTATATAGTATGAGTTAAATGACATCAATGACAGTGTGTGGTAAGAGTTAAATAGTGCCATAAATGGTTGAAATACCAAAGAACCAAAAGCCCAGTTATTTTATGATAATGTTTGTAATAATGGAACTGATAGTGCTTGGGGCAACAAAGATGCTTGTAGTGACAAAGGTGCTTGTGGTGATAAAGGTGCTTGTGGTGGTAAAGGTGCTTGTGATGGCAAAGATGCTTGTGGTGGCAGAGGTGCTTGTAGCAGCAAAGGTTCTTGTGGCAGCGGTAATTTAGAATATTTTTTTTTGAAAAATATCTTGTTGTGAAAAAAGAGAGGATGTGTTGAAGGGTCTTTAACTGTACTTAATCCTTTATTCTAAATGCATATATAGTATAAATTATTATGTAATGATAAATTATAATTTATAATTAGTCTAGCTAATACTTTAGAACAATATTCTTTTTGTTTGATTATCTATATAGTTGCAAAATCTACACAGAATTCTGCACTATTTATATTAATTGCGACTAAATTTTAGTTAGAGCAATAGTATCCTAAATATTTTAATATTTGAGCTTATCAAGATGATCCACAAAAGCACAGATTTATGATAATATACCACGGCCATTGCATAATTTTTTAGAAAATTGTTAAATCGTCTATATAGCTTTTGTATGCAACTTTATTATTTTAAGTTCACAATATGGCCATAGCAATGGTTTAGATAATATAACCTGTACTTTTGGAGTCATCCTGGTGAACTCTTAATATTTCAAACTAACTTAAGCTAAGTCAACTAAACAATTTATGAAAACTTTTACCATATCTGATGCCCAAATCGAAAGCATCATAAATGTAATTTCTACATATAGATCTTTATTATTTTCTTTATTCAAACAAAGTCGATTATGTATGTTACAATGATGTTCTTTTCGAATTTCCAAAACGTTCTTAGCAGTTATTTGGTCTTGTGATGATAAAGTTGATATACTTGGAACTTTATTGCTATTTTTGTAATTGTTTGTTAATTCTTTATCATCGTTCGAATTTATATTCTATGTAAAACCATCTAGTAATTAGTAATTAATACGTATATACTACATACATATTTAGAATAATAACTTATTACCTTTGTTTTTTGTTTTGCTTGCACGATTGTTATATAAATTCCCATATCTATATTTTTTGCAGCTAACTTTAAGCATTCAGCCTTAAATTTTATAAAATCTTACGCATCAGCTAATTGGGTACCAGCACCAGTTTTTCTCGGTGTTTTAAATGCAACATTATAATCAGTTAGTAAGAGAATATTATCTTTTACCAATACAATAATTTTATTATGAATTGATAAAAGAAATTCATCTACAGTCGACGCTGATTCTTTGAACCACTTGGCTGGTAATGAAGTTCCTTCTGCAGTTTTGACAATTAATTTGTAACTTATTTCAAATTTGGTATTATCATCACTACTTATTATTTCATCATTGGTTATAACAGATAAAGAGAAAGAAGATGACTGAATTATCTTCTAAAGAAAGAAATATATAAATAAATTTATAAAAATAAAAAAAAAGTTGCATTATTTCAATTATAATATTTGTTGCCATATTTGTTACCGCATCTGATACTATATCTGTTACCACATCTGATACTACATCTGTTGCTACATCCGATGCTACATCCGTTGCCACATCTGTCAATTCATCTGTTGCATTATCCATTACTATATTCATTGCATTATCTGTTACCACATCTGTTGTTTTATTCATTAATTTTTTTTTAGTTTTGGTGGAATTCAATTTGAGCAAAATGCTATAGCACTGACCACAAAGGGAAAACTTAAAAGATTTTTTTAAATTTATTTGATAATTATATTCTAAGATTTTTTTATGAATATATTCAAACTTTGGTGCTACCCAAGTAGATTCATATTGATGTGTGTATGCTTGTTTAACATGAACAGTTCTGTTTTTTTTTGTTAGAACCAAGGATTTTTTACAACTACACATGATCTGACACAAATCTACTGCACAGTACAAACATTTTCGGTATCCAAAGCAAGTTCTGCGATAATATTTGAGCTTGGTGTTTAATGCATCTGCCATGAGATATTTGATTAATGTGAAAAAGAAAAAAATTTTATTGATTTTAGAATTTTTTATATTTATAGTTTATATTTTGGATTTCTGATTTCCAGATTCCTAGATTTCCAGTGATGTGTAATATCGAAAATATGATGATCACAGTAAATTGAAAAGCGCAATAATATAGTTAATAGGCAATCTGTGAGATATCTGAACAAAAATTTTTTTTATATAAGTTTTCTATAAGCCTGAATGTGCAGTACCCTATTTAAAATCTTTTTTTTTACTAAATAAACTACTTTTTGGTTTTTAACAGAAGTTGTAGAGCTCATCAAGATATATCTAATAATAAAAAAATGTTAAAATTGTCAATAAAAGGTTTTTTAAAGATTTCTCAAGAATCACTAGACCAATATAAAATTCTTTTACTATTAAATGTATCTTGATGAGCTCTATAACTTTTGTTAGAAACCTAAGAGTGATTTACTTAGTAAAAAAAAGTTTTAGATAAGAGCACTACATATTCAGACTTATAGTAAAATTTATATATAAAAAAAGCTTTTGTCTAGTTATCTTATGGATTGCCTATTAAAATTATCCCTTAAACTGTAATCTAGACAAATTTGCCTGAAAAATATAATTGTATTTAGTATTTTTTAAATAAACAATAATTTATTAATAACTGATAATATAAAATATACTTTTTTTTATAAAATATATTTTTGAAAATATATTTTATAAACTTTATTATAAAAATTTTTTAAAATTATTAATAAACTTTTGAATAAAAAAACTTCAAAGTTTTTATTCAAAAAATTTTTACTATTAAAAAATTAAGATTTTTTAAGATTTTATATATTTTTAAAGCTAAAAAAAAATTTTGCTCTTAATACAAGTCTAAATTTTTATAAGTTATAAAATTGTAATAATAAAAATTGTCATCCTTTATATAAACTAAAATATTGTATTAAGAACTATATCTTTAAAATTAATATTTAAAAAGTTCAGCAAAAATAAGTAGATAATTTTTTTTATTAAAAATTTTTTTCAAAATTTGTCTATTTTTAGTTTATAAATTATTAAGACTTTTTTTTATAATATAAAATTAAATACTGCTATAATTTAATGTGAATTTCTAGACATCTCTGGCCAGAGATATATAACTTATATATCTCTAACTAGAGATATATAACTTATATATCTCTGGCCTTTTGACCAATTAAAATGCAAGAAAATCACGTGATCGCTATTTTTGATGATCACTTGATATCGGATGGGTCGACAACCTTCATGTAACCTGGAATTACGATCTCACCAAAAAAATAGACCGTCTATTGGTATTCATAAATTGCACTAAAATTTTAACACTTTGATTGAAGATATCTCGACATCCACTTGATCAAATTCGACAAAATTTTTTTATTCGAATTCTACAGAACTGTAGAATTCGAATAAAAAAATTTTCATTGAATTTGATCAAGTGGGTGCCGAGATATCTTCGATCAAAGTTTTAGAGAATTTCTAAA